CATAGATCACTAGTGAGATCGTCATATTATTTTTCCACTACGCCATGGGGTTTACCAATGACCCCAACAACTACTACCTTATCCTAATATATGAGAACACACCCAAGTCCATACAAGGATGCATCGTTGAAAACATAATGATCTTACTTAGACTCTAACTGAGTTAAAACTAAAGCCTCTATCAACAAGGTGTTAATCTCATCCCTAGTTTATATTCAAGAAGGTTCTTATTCAAAGAATCTAAGATAAAGTATCACTAAAACCATCACCAACATTAGAGGGATGACTATCATATCTACTCATATGATCATGACCTGAGTTATAGAACATAGTAAAGAACTCAATAAGAGAAGAATACAAAGAAGCATAGTTAGGATTCTAGTCCCGGATGAGTACAACATAAACTTATAAAGTTATATTCACTAGATATTTTATTATAACCATCATGTTACATAGAAATGGTTCTAAATAAGATCTAATACTACTAAATAAAATATCATAAACTTAACCCATCCTAAATTTGAAGGATCTAGGTCTCACTCAAAATAACTAAAGTGACTAATAATTTCTTTTTGAAAGTCTCATTACTAAGAAACTTTAAAAGCACAATCATTTTATCATAATAATTAAATCAAGTATTAGTTAGGTTATACAAAATATAGAGCTCTATAATTTAAATAAGACTTAAATATAAAAAAGGTGCCCAATGTATGCCTTTGGTTCCACTTTAGTACCTAACGTTTATTTTGTTCCAATTTGGTGTTTAACGTTTAATTTTGTAACTCAAATTGGGTCAGGTCGTGAGGGTTAAGTGACATGTGTCACAACTTGGTAATTTTAAAAATTTTATTTAAAAATAAAAAAATTAAAATTATATATATAATTTTTAAAAAGAAAACACAAATTTTGAAATAAACCCAAGACTTTGAAAACCTTAATTTTAACCCCTAAACCTACATCGACCACCACCTTTTACTACCAATGAAGCTCCACCCGACCTCCCCTTCTCCTAACGACCAAACCCCCTATGAAATCGTGACCAATCGAAGGTCAATCGGTCGTCGGAATCGCGTGGGATATCGATTTTCATCCTAGGGTTCATGGGGTATATAACTTTGATTCGACATCGATCGGTTGTCGATAATTCACGATTTTCACAGGGGTTTTGGTCGTTGAGGGAAGGGGAGGGGAGGTCGGGTGAAGCTTTGTCGATGACAAAAGACGGTGGCTGGCGTAGGTTTAGGGGTTAAAATAAAGGTTTTTAAAGTTTTGGGTTTATTTCAAAATTTGTGTTTTCTTTTTAAAAATATATTTTTAATTTTAAATTTAAATTTTTAAATAAAAATTTTACAATTATCAGGTTATGACACGTGTCACTTAACAATCAAACTAAGGTATTCAACTCTTAACAAGACTCAATTTTAGAATCCCTCTTTAGGGATGTTCTTTGGATGTTATCCAATTAATAATCTATGCAAAAACATCTGAATGTTGATCTTATCAAGATTAGTGGCACGTAACTACACTACGATTGTAAAATCCTCAAAATAGGGCTAGTGACTAAAATATAAGTTTTTGAAACTTTGTGGTCAATTTTGAAAACTTTTAAATGCTTAGGGATTTATTGGAATATTTTGTGAAGGATTGTTTAGAAAAAATTGAATGATGCAAGGGAAAATGGTCTTTAGGCAAGAAATGAATTTAATTTTTTTTATAAGATATTTAAACAAAGAAGTGGGAAGTAAAGAAGTATCTAGAAAGTGGTGTATTTCTTCTTCTTCTCCCTTTAGCCACGAGTTTCCATTCCAACGGTGAGTTCTTTACAAGTTAATTATTTCTTGAAATTTAATTTTGGGTTTTGGTCTCATGGTGATACTAAAGCTTAAGGAAAGCTTAAGGGTGTTTAAAACTAAAAGATTTACAAGTTACGGGAGATTAAGTAAAAAAGGCTTTTGAGTGAATTGTTGAGAAAAAGTTAGTAAATGAAATTTTAAGTGAAATTTGACTTGTAATAAGCTGTAATAAGAAATCTAAAGTGATAGAAATGGATTTGGGGTATGTTGATTATTTGGTGTGATTTTTGTTTCCAAGTGTTCTATGAGGATTGTTTATGTTTATGTGTGATTTAAAATGTGTAGTTAAGTTTAAAAGCTTGAAAAGAGGTTAAAGAGAAAGATTCAAGTAAGTTTAGTTAATTTTCGGGTTAAAATAAGTAAGTTCTGGGCAAGGGGTATTAGTACTGGATGAACATTATCGATATTTCAGAGTAAAAACATGTGATATTTGGGTTTGGGTATCGATACTGGAAGAATAATATCGATACCATAAGGTAAATTGTATGAAATCCTTTAATCAGTATCGATATCGAATGAGTAGTATCGATACTAAGGGGTATTGATACCAGTGAACAAGTATCGGTACCATTTTGAGAAATGAAATTCCAAAATCAAAATTGGGTATCGATACTGAAGTATAGTATTGATACCATAGTGTAGAAGTATTTGTACTGTACCTTGGGTACCGATACTATTCAAAGTGAAATAGTGAATTAAGTGCTTCGTTTAGCTCAAGTTATTGGTGATTGATTTATAGTATTATGAACTCCGATATTTATTTAGACTGTATATTTGTGTAGATATTGATCGAAAGCAAGATCCATACGATTCAAAGTTGTAAGATCGATCTAAGGTGCTAAGTGCTTAGTTTTGACTAAGTAAGGCTACGATGAGTGAATAATAGTATGAATTATGATCATATGGAAAGAAGACTTGCGATGAGTCTATTTCCATTGTTTAATGGCATGATTTAATGAATACAAGTATATCATGGTTATGGTTTCTATGGGTTCATGATGTATATGTCGATATGTTATATGTTATTCTATGTGTTACATGATCTATGTGGATATAGGAGAAATGATATAAGTTATGTGACTATGAGCTATGTGAGTACATGTCTATGTGATGATATATGTGATATTGATCTACGTGAATATATGAAAATGTGATATAAACCATTTGATGTTGATCTACGTGAATATATGAAAAGGTGATATAAGTTATGTGATAAGGTCTATGTGACTATGTGAACATATGATATAATCTATATGATACTGAATTATGTGAATAATTGAAAATGTGAAATGTGTAAATAGTAAAGCCCATAAGTATGTGATATGAGAGCTAAGGGTATAATTGGCATGCCAAGAGTCGAGGGTTCTACTCCTTCGGGAGAATATTATGTGGTCATTCGGGACATTTCTACGCGGTCCTTTGGGACATCTATGTGGTCCTTCAGGATATTCTATTTGGCACTTTTGTGCAATTTATACGAGTTGTGGTGACAATATTTGTGCACAACATCAATGCTCTCACATACATTAAGTTCTCAAAAGTGTACCATGGGCTATTAAAAGAAATAACATAAATAAACAGTACGTGATGTCATGTTTTTTTCTTTGTGAAATGTATTATATGATGTCTTATAAAAGTTAAGTACAAGATTATATGTTTTAAATGGTTTAATGGTTTAAATAGTAATTATGAGAATGGTGTTAATAATGATATTGATGATAATGATAAGGATATATATATTTGCACTTATGCTTTTGTTACATGATGTGTTTTATAGTTTCTTTAAATGATTATATTAAATGTTTAGAATATGATTAAGTGATGCAAGGTTTTATTATACATTTTATATGCCTCATTAAGTCAATGACTTAGCGTGTGAGTGATTTTCACACGTAGGTTCAGTGAAGTCGGAAGATCAAGATTAGTACGAGTCAAGACAGCATAGCTTTACAGAAGATCATATCATAATTGATTTAAGTTGTATGTTCTCTTGTATATGTTATTTTGTTGGCATGTAAATGAAAGTTTAAATTGAAAATGCTCTAATCAAATTTTGAAAACATACTTGATTATATTAATGTAAATTATTAAGTTTTATGTTTAATTTAAATATGAATTTCTCCACCATTTTGATAAGATATATTGTACAAATTTTTAAGAGTAAATGTTTTAAAAAGCCAATGTGACACTTCAGATTTGTATCCGAGTTGGATACGGGTTAGGGGTGTTACATTTAATGGTATCAGAGCTATAGTTTAATCGATTCTAGGTTCAAACCGAAGTCAAGTGTGTTTTAAAAAGTATACATGCCAACAATAAGTAAAAATTTATGATATGATAATGTAAGGAGTGTGTTGTCTTGCTAGTAGAGTTATATGATTATGTTTATTAGATGTATGACCACGAGAGCTCCCGAAGTGAAGGGAGAAATGATAGACCTGAAGGTAGTAGCAATTCACCTGTCCTGGGTAGGCAGGATGAATAGCGAACACCTCAGGGAGTACCTATACAAGATCAGAGGTTGTTTTTCCGGACGTTGAACGTTATTCTGACACGTTTTCAACCTCATTCTCCCTCAACTCCTAGAATAAATGTAGTGAAAGAGTTAAAAGGGTTAGGAGCACCCATGTTTAAGGGTGAAGTCGAGGAAGGTCCTGTTGTTGCGGACCTTTGGTTAAATGATGTGAAGATATTGTTAGAAGGTCTTCACTGCTCTGAAGTGATAAAGTTAGATGGAGTTATTTCATTCCTTCGCGGATAAGCTAGGGTTTGGTGGACAAATGTCACCATGAGAATGTCAAGTGATCAAGTGATGTGGTTGTTGTTTTTAGAAGAGTTCAAGAATAAGTATATTGGTGATCAATTTATTAGGCAAATGAAGCAAGAATTCCTAAACTTGAAGCAGGGAAACTACACTGTGTATGAGTATGAATGTGAGTTTAATAAGCTAAGTAGATTTGTTGCTGAGTTAATTCCGACTGAGAATGATATATGTGATTGGTTTGTGGAGGGCTTGCACCCCAGATTAAAAGAGTTGTTGTTAGCTTTGAATCTGTCCTCTTTTTAAGAAGTGGTTAATCAAGTTAAAGCTATAGATAGATCTCAGAATGAGAGGTATGGAGAACAAAAATCTAAGATGATTAAGAGAGTTGGTGCTTCATCGAGTTCAGCACCATCAAAGAGAAGTAGAGATTCTGATTTTCAACCTCAGACTAGGTCTGAGTCAGCTGCATCTTCTGCTAGAAAATCAAATTTAAGTCAATCAAGGCAATGTCTTCATTGCGGAAAGAATCATAGCGGAGTATGTCGAGTGGTCTCCAGAGCTTTCTTTAGATGTGGTGACATAGGACATTTTATTGGAGATTGTCCATTCATGAATGACGAGGTTGCCCAAATCGAGCGATCTGCTATAGTATCTCAGAGAGGTCGAGGAAGAAATCAATCTAAGTCATCCACTCAACATGAGATGTATTCAACTACCCGGGTTTACAATATAAGGACTAACGAAGCTCACGATGATCCAAATATCAATACAGGTATTTTTTAATTATGTGGTAAAGTAATTTTGGTTTTCATATATCCGGGATTAATATATTTGTACATCAGTAGCAAATTAGTGAGAGAATTGAAAATTTTGATTAGAAGCAACAAGTAATTATGTGATGGTGATTAAACCATTAGGGCATGGTTCTCGGGTGAATACGTTGTGTCGAATTTGTTTGAGTTACGAGAAACTTATTCTGAAAAACATATAAAGAGCTAATAATGGTTATTAATAAGAAATAAAATAGAACAAGGTTTTGTATAGGTAGTGTCGACTATCAATAATATGTGTATTGTAATTTGAATGAGGATTATACAAGAGTAAACGTTTGGTTTATGTTGCAAAGCAATTAGAGAATGATGAAAAAAAGCAACTGACTTATGATCTTGAGTTAGTGATGATTGGGGTTATCGTATTGATAGAACCCTATTATGTACATGGTGAATAATATTATACGAAGATTTAAAGATCAATAATAAGTATAGAATCGAAGGAGTGATAAGACATGCAATTGATTGAATTATTTGGAGATTGAAGACAAGTTTATTAAAGGCAATTACAAAAAAATTAGCCGAGGATGCAACATAAGAACATGAGGGTGATTTGAGTAGATAAGTTTCCATCTCTTTGTAAAGTGAAAATTCGAGGATGAATTTTCTTAAGAGGAGATTTGTAACATCCCCAAAATAGGGCTAGTGACTAAAATATAAGTTTTTGAAACTTTATGGTCAACTTTGAAAACTTTTAAAAGTTTAGGGATTTATTGGAATATTTTGTGAAGGATTGTTTAGAAACAAATTGAATGATGCAAGGGAAAAATGGTCTTTAGGCAAGAAATGAATTTAAAATTCATTTTATAAGACATTTACACAAAGAAGTAGGAAGGAAATAAGTATCTGGAAAGTGGTGTATTTCTTCTCCTTCTCCCTTTAGTCGTGAGTTTCCATTCCAACGGTGAGTTCTTTACAAGTTGATTATTTCTTGAATTTTTATTTTGGGTTTTGGTCTCAGGGTGATACTTAAGCTTAAGGAAAGCTTAAGGGTGTTTAAAACTAAAGGATTTACAAGTTACGAGAGATTAAGTAAAAAGGGTTTTTGAGTGAATTATTGAGAAAGAGTTAGTAAATAAAAATTTGAAGTGAAATTTGACTCGTCATAAGATGGAATAAGAAATCTAAAGTGTTAGAAATGGATTTAGGGTATGTTAAGTATTTGGTGTGATTTTAGTTTCTAATTGTTCTATGAGGATTTTTTATGTTTAAGTGTGGTTTAGTGAAATAAGTTGGTTTTAAAATGTGTAGTTAAGTTTAAAAGCTTGAAAAGAGGTTAAAGAGGAAGATTCAAGTAAGTTTAGTTAATTTTTGGTTTAAAATAAGTAAGTTATGGGCAAGGGGTATCGATACTTCATAGTAAAAACATGTGATATTTGGGTTTAGGTATCGATACTAGAAGAACAGTATCGATACCATTAGGTAAATTGTATGAAATCCTTTAAATAGTATCGATATCGAATGAGTAGTATTGATACTAAGGGGTATCGATACCAGTGAAGAATTATCGGTACCATTTTGAGAGATGAAATTCCATAATCGAAATTGGGTATCGATATAGAAGTATAGTATCGATACCATAGTGTAGAAGTATCGGTACTGTACCTTGGGTACCGATACTATTCAAAGTGAAATAGTGAATTAAGTGCTTCGTTTAGCTTAAGTTATTGGTGATTAATTTATAGTATTATGAATTTCGATATTTATTTAGATCGTATATTTGTATAGATATTGATCGAAAGTAATATTCGGATGATTCAAAGTTGTAAGATCGATCTAAGGTGCTAAGTGCTTAGCTTTGACTAAGTAAGGCTAAGGTGAGTGAATAATAGTATGAATTATGATCATATGGAAAGAAGACTTGCGATGAGTCTATTTCCAATGTTTAATGGCATGATTTCATGAATACAAGTATATCATGGTTATGGTTTCTATGAGTACATGATGTATATGTCTATATGTTACATGTTATTCTATGTGTTACATGATCTATGTGGATATAGGAGAAATGATATAAGTTATGTGACTATGAGCTATGTGAGTACATGTCTATATGATGATATATGTGATATTGATCTACGTGAATATATGAAAATGTGATATAAACCATTTGATACTGATCTACGTGAATATATGAACATGTGATATAAGCTATGTGATAAGGTCTATGTGACTATGTGAACATATGATATAATCTATGTGATACTGAGCTATGTGAATAATTGAAAATGTGAAATGTGTAAACAGTAAATCCCATAAGTGATATGAGAGCTAAGGGGGTGTTTGGTTCAAGGATTGTGGGATTCCCATGTTTGGTTGGCCGAGAATCTCATTCCCGGTAATGTTTTATTATCAATAGTAGATTTTTTGGGGTATATTACCGGGAATGTCATTACCTCCCTTCCCTTAGGTATTGTAACATTACCGGCGTTTTGGACTAAAATGCCTTTAAATTTTTATTTTTTTTCAAAAATATCCTTATTCTGTCATTGAATAATAAAAATTCTATGAAGGTTAAATTACAAATTTATCCTTAAATTATTTTATATTTACAAAAAAAAGTCTATAATTAAAATTTTATATGAAGTTCAGGGGTTAAAAAAAATTTTACCCTTTCATTAAACTTTTTTTATATTTTTAATTTTGTAATAAAAATTATATAAATATTATGAATTTAATTTTTTAAAGAATATATATAAATATTTTACAATTTGTAATATTATACAAATATATAATAAGGACAATTTCGTCAAATATACATTCCAATAATATTTTATTTCTTTAACCAAACACGGTAATCTTACATCCCTGCTAAACCAACCAAACACAAAATACAACATTCCCAGTAATCCTATTCCCTGGTAATCTTTTATTCCCACTGGTAATCTTACATTCCGTGAACCAAACGCACCCTAAGGGTATAATTGGCATACCAAGAGTCAAGGGTTCTATGCGGTCATTCGGGACAATACTATGTGGTCCTTCAGGACATTTCTACGCGGTCCTTCGGGACATCTATGTGGTCTTTCGAGACATTCTATGTGGCACTTCGGTGCAATTTATATAAGATGTGGATACAACATTTTTGCACAACCTCAATGCACTCACATACTTTAAGTTCTCAGAAATGTACCATGGGTTATTAAAAGGAATAACATAAAAAAAAGTATGTGATGTCATGTGTTTTGCTTTGTGAAATGTTTTATATGATGTCTTATAAATGTTAAGTACAAAATTATATATTTTAAATGGTTTAATGGTTTGAATAGTAATCATGAGAATGATGTTAATAATGATATTGATGATGATGCTGATGAGGATATATATATGTTTGCACTTATGCTTTTGTTACATGATGTGTTTTATAGTTTCTTTAAATGATTATATGAAATGTTTAGAATATGATTAAGTGATGAGAGATTTTATTATACATTTTATATGCCCTACAAAGTCAATGACTTAGCGTGTGAGTGATTTTCACACGTAGGTTCAGCGAAGTCGGAAGATCAAGATTAGTGCGAGTCAAGACAACATATTTTTACAGAAGATCAGATCAAAATTGATTTAAGTTGTATGTTCTCTTGTATATGTTATTTTGTTGGCATGTAAATGAAAGTTTAAATTGAAAATGCTCTGATCGAATTTTGTAAACATACTTGATTATATTAATATAAATTATTAAGTTTTATTTTAATTTGAATATGAATTTCTCCACCATTTTGAGAAGATATATTGTACAAATTTTTAAGAATAAATGTTTTGAAAAGTTAATGTGACACTTCGGATTATCCGGGTCGAATACGGGTAGGGGTGTTACAACGATAATTCATAGAGTTCATAATATAAGCAAGTGATACAAGTATAGGCATCGATGTATGACAATAATTTGCATGAATCATCTAAGCGTACGTCACATAATAACAACACATCATTTATTTCTACTACTATGAATATCACACAATACAACATAAAAGTATAGGAATCATAAAGTATATACCACACAGCTTCATATTAATCACTGCCCAATTCAAATTGCCTCATGCATTAGAATACTATGGTGTCCGATCCATAGAGCATCCATTAGAGTGGTATAGTGTCGGTTCATATATCTACCTCTGACAACCCTCATACGACTTTCCACATAGTGTTAACTCATTTCATATAGTATCCATTAGCATGAATCACGGATCCTTCACCACACATGGTTGGATATCAAACAATGCCAACACGATCGCATCAACAGTCACTGAGTAGTATCCCTAACTCTCTATCATATTATCCTATGTAAAGTCGTCCGATAGTATCTTCCGTCAATGTCCTTCATCAGGTTCCTCCATTAAATTGCCATTTGTCAATTTCTTTCATCAGTGTCTTCTGTTAATACCCTCCATTGTGTTCCTTCGTCAATGTCCTCCATTAATGTCCTTCGTCAGAGTCATCCATGAATCGATCCTTCATCAGTGTCCTTTGCAAGTTTCCTTCGTCAGGGTTTTCTGTTTTACAATCCTCCTTTAGGGTCTTCGTCAAACAGTCGTCTGTGATGGTCGTTTGCCATGGCAGGCCGTACAAT